CCACACCCCATCCTCCACCCTCCTGCCTCCCTCTTCATCTCCCAACTATGCTGAGCCTGAGGCTCCCAACAAAACTCCTCAAAATGCTCCTTTTCATTCTCTCACTGGCTCAAGGCAGCCTACCCTGGCCTGCACACTCCTTTATAGCCAGCCTCACCCAGCCTGTCCCACATCACTCCCGGCCCGGCGCCGGACACACTTTCTCTCACCCACTCCCTGCGCACACCCTATCAATTCACATGCACATTAGTGAAGTGAAAAGAGCCCCCCCAGCCCTGCCCCCCGCACAAATATATTCATTTTAATCCAGTGAAGACCGAAGAGGTGTCATTAGATATTACACAATAGTTGGAAAGCCAACTCTAAACCTCAGATTTTGGTGACAATTTCCTTTCACAGAGGCCTACAGGATGGCTTTCTTTCACTTTTCTACCAGTTCCTGCTCAAAACACAAATAAATAAAAGAAGCCGATAAAAAAACAATCACCAGCAAAGCACCCAGCTTCCAGGTAGAGACTCTGATAAAATATTACTGTGTTGTCTTTTTAAATGACCACGTTCCTAGCACCTATGTGCATATTCAGAAAAGCAATTTCGTACAGTGAAGGGGAAAATATGAAATCACAAATTATGTGTTTTTTTAAAATTAAGAATGGAAAGATTCATCTTTGTTTTCCAAATAAGAACTGTAGGACAGGTATGAAATACGTCCAGAACTTAGTGGTCACTTTGGTGGTGGTTTTCTGTGAGGTGGGTGCTGTCTTTGTGTGAGTTGTCTCTGCTTCCCGAAGTTGGAGAAAGGCAGGGTCTGGTGCCTGCAGTATTTTCTTTGATTTTTCTCTAGCTAGACGGGTCCTTGATGGGGGCTGGGAGACATTCTTCACTCACTTGGGACTCTAACCTAGCATCACAAAACTGCTGGGAGGTGGGAGACAAATTTCTATTTATAGCATCAGGGAAAGGATTATTACACCTCCCCCATAGGAAATACAGAGATAGACCCACACTAAATAAAACAAGACAGAGTCCAGCCTCTTTCTCAAGATAATTTTTATTGGCATTAAAAAGAGGTAGAAGGGGGTTTTGTGGTCAATTTCAATATCTAAATAATGCCCACAGGTGATATGCAAAAGCAGAATATAGAATAATTGTATATAGTCGTTATATTATATGGCATCCTCAGATTTGCATTTTCCTCTTAAAAAAAGAATGTGAGAGCTTCACTTTTAGTGTTGTGTGAATTTAGATTGCATGCATTTTTATCAATAATCTGTGTACTATTCATTTTAACGATGCTTTTTTTGGCTTATTTCATTCTTTAAGTAATGATTTTCATTTCCTTGATGTGCTAAAACAGAATATTTTAAAAATATTAATTGATAATTATTAAAAATGGGTGGATAAGTATTGTTGGTTTATCTTTTTCAAAGCTAAGAATATAAAATCATTCATACATAAATTAATAGAAATTTAACTTTCAAAAGGTGTTTAGAGAGAAAATTATGGCTTACACTTAAAAATGAAAAAAAAATACAATTTGCATTTTTTTCAATGCTTTTGCTTACCATTGTTTTCATTAGTCCTTTATTCATTAGAATTTATGAGCTCTCTCCATCATCACACTTCCACATCTCTGATTTCTGTTAAATTTTCTAACAGAGACTAATAAATACAAAGGAGTAAAAAGGCCTATTTGTGCTCATTTCAGGTGGTTTATATTTGCATTTAAATTTTTTCCCCCATGGTCTTAGTTTAAATTATTAAAAATTGCTCGAAATTAATTCCATTTGGAATTACGAAGTAGCAGGGGGGTTTTAGAAAGGAAGTGAACAACACAATTTTGCTAAATTGTAACATGTTCTTGGGCTTGGTCCATCTAATGCCCTCTCCAGCATGGCATGGTTTGAGCTTCACATGTTTGGAAGAAGAAGGGTTGGGAGAAGAATGTATATTTGGAATGGTGTTTGACAGGGGATGAGCGCAGACACCAGAACAATTATATTACAACCCCACTGGGAATGCCAGCACCAAATTTATCCAGACTGATGGGGTACCGTCTAGACGGTCTCTTTGTGTATCAGCTGTTTTTCCCTGCTTTATTGCACTGCCTGAATGTGTGAACTGAACATGCATATGGATCCCAAACATAACCACTCCTGCAGCCATATATTACTATTAAACTTCTCATTTGGCTAAGAAGCAAGGGTTATGTATTCCTACTGTATTCCCTTTACAATATTTTGTAATTAAAAGGCAGCTTTCAGATTAGAGATGAAACAAAGGTTAGAAGACAAAGTAGAAGGTGCTCAAGCTCTTTCTTTCTATGAAGAAAATGCACTAGGTAAACATTTCTATCTTCTTAAACATGTCCACCTCTTTTCCACTAAAGTGAAAGAAAGCCAGAAAGAAAAGAAATAAAACAATAGGAGGAAAGAGGCACAGCACATACAAATTACCACCTTTCCTTTTGAAAAGGGCAAAGGATAGAAAGAAAGAATATTATTAAATGTTTGCGGTATAATTAACAGTAGTTAATTTTCCTTGATGTTTTTCTTTCCCTCTCTTTATTTGGTAAACCAAATGGGGTCTAATCAGGGTGCTTACTGACTTTTAGAAATAGATTCCCAAACTCTTTTAAATATATGGTTATAAAATTGCTTTAGTGTTGTAGGGCAAAGAAATCCCAGAGAACTCACTTCACATCCAAGCAACTGTCAGGATTTTTTTGGGTGTCAGAAGGGTGCAGGAGGGATGGGGTTACTTAAAAGTGAGCAGTGTATTCACATAAACCAGTCATTGTCGTGGGGAGCAGGAAGGCACCCCTAAATCAGCTGCCCACTCTGTGCATGCTGGGTACCAAGGTTGGATCCTTTTGCTAACAATCAATAATTTGAAATGGATACAGAGTGATTATTCCAATTAGAAAGTGAGAAATAGAGAAACACATTAATGCTAATGAAAGTTGGTATCAGACCCACCTCTTTCTATGGAAGATTTGTCAGCAACTTTTGCATAAGGTCACCAAGAACTGAAAGGTGTAAGAAAGTGGAATTCCATAAAATGGAAGTCACGGTAAATAAAACTCTTGCTTCACATTAGGATCCAAAATGAATACCATGATCCAGGAGAGGAGATGTTATGCTTTAAGGCACAGAGAACTTTTGTTAAAATATACACACAAACTTTGTTTGGAAAAGGAATTCTATTTGCTGAAATTGTTTTCTGTTAATGAAAAAGAAAATGTAAAGTTTTCACCTTGGGTAAGGAAACACAAGTTAAAGTTGATGATAGCAAAAAAAAGCATGTCTATAATAGTTGCAGTGTTATTTCATACACTAAATTTTGTTAGTGACTAAATCATGGAATTTAGATTTTTAAAATATTTTTTCAGTGCCTTTCTGCTGGGATTTAACAACTGCTGTCCACTATGGAGAATGAAGATTTTATTCCTCTATTGAGGATATTGAAGAGAAGGCTAGAGGAAAAAGAGAACTGCATTTCTGATTTTCCTCAACAGGGTAAGACGAGAAATGATCTGTTTATTGGCTGGAAGTGTCGTATCAGAAAATCAACAATCCCTTAGCATGATCAGGGATACAGGATGGGAGAAACATGCTCTTTGGGAGCGGGGTGCGATCTGAACTGCTGTCACTACACATGGAGACCTTGAGTAGGCACTTAGAGGCCCAACTTAGGTAGGATAAAGAAAAAATATCTTCAAAGACAGGGGCAGAGAGCAAAAGCAACCAAGACCGAGAAACAGAGAAAACAAGAGGGAAATGGGGGAGGGTGGGGGTGGGGGTGGGGTGGGGGTGGCACACAAGGGTACTGAGTGAGAGAGAAAGGGGAGCGGAGAATGGATGTTCTAAGCATTGTTTTAATCTAAACCAGGGGAGCTTCCAGGAGAATGCATTTCAATGGAGCTGAGCCAAAAATGATTATAGAGATTTTCTTGTTTTGTTTTGTGAATGAAGAGCATCTCTTTTCTCTGGAGACGCGAGTGAGAACAGCCGCAGCCCAGAGACCCTGTACTTCCACACACCACCGTGGCAGCCCTTTCTTTCTTTCCTCTCCCAATAGCTATGGGCACAGGACTGCGTGAGAAGACGCCAGGGAAGTGGCAGCAGCCCTCCAGCCTTAGCTGGATTTTTCTCTCCTGAGGATAGCTTGTTTACTTTGATGAGCCTGAAGTTTTGAAATTGGAAGCAAGACTGGAGTTGGGAGGGAGAGCGATCTGTATTTTAGGTTCCAGAAATAAAATTAAGCTATTTACTACTAAGAATATGTCCCCTATTTGAGATACTTGAAACTTTCTTAGGGTTTGTTTTACCAATTCAATTTGTCTCCTTGTTTTTCATCATCAGTAGCAGGCTACTAAAGGGAATCTCTCAGTTTTCTTCCACTTTTTTTTTTTTTCTGTGATGTCAACTCTTTTTGGTGAAACCTTTATTTAAAAAAAACCATTAAAATTGTCACTCATTAAAATAGCTAGAGCTATGACTAAGTTTTTCTGAAACAGTAAAATATACTTCTCATAAAGCAGGAATAGAAGGCTTTATATTAATATGAAATATACAGATTGGAGGAAAAACATTAACAAGAATAGACTTTGGAGAGAGAGCAATCATAAACAACTCAGGAATTAATATTTTAATGACTATTAATTTTCTTGACTCGCATACAAATCATACTAGTACAGTACTGTATGAATCTGCATACATTCTCCAAGATCTCAGGTGTTGGGCCGTGTTTGGAACCTTTTGTCATTTTGATCATTCATAGATGCTCATTCTGCAAGTAGGGTGTAGGCCTCATTGTTGTCTTTGTGCTACCATATTTTTAAAAGATGCTGTATTTGAGAAACCCAAGAACCAGTGCTTTTCCTCTACATCGTATTTCACAACTTGTAAAAATTAACATTTGGTCTTATAAATATTTGATTGGCTAAGTTTTTTTAACAATTTAGTGGCCCAGCAAAAGAGCAGCACAGAGCTGTAAATTTAATGGATGAACCCTAAAATGACCTTGATATGAAGTTAGAAGAAAGTTATTTATGTTCTATTCATAGCCAAGATTATCTATAGACTTATACATATCTCAGACTGTAGCAAAAGTAGGTATGATTTCCTTTAAACACATACATACTAAAATTTGTTTTCCTGTTTAAAAAAAACTATTGAAATGTATAGCAGTTAGCAGTAAAGCTATATGATTCTATTAAGTAGTTAACTTTTTTATTTTTTAAAGATGAAAAATGTCTTCATGTGCAAGAGACTTTATTTAGGGATTTTTCAAAACATATTTTAAATGTCACTGTGAATGCATTGTGTAAATGTGCGAATATGAGTTTTATGAATCCACATTTAATTTAATTAATCATATTGATTCACTTGACATTTTTCTCCTCCAGCATCCTCCTTTCACCCTTTTTTCATCTCTGTATTAAACAGCATTTCTTTTACAGTGGTAGACTAATTTTTGAAACAGATTTTACAAAATAAAACTGACAATGGTTTCAGAAGAACTTTTAAAAGCATTCAATTTAGGCTTGTTAGAATATGTAAATGAATATTTAAGAATCCAAAGTATTTAATCACACTAATCTTAACTTTAGATTTAAAAAACCCAATCCTCAAAATGAGTAGACCCACTTATTAAGGAGAATAATTATTAATATTAAATAACTAGAATATTCACAACTCTACCCTAAACCAAAACAAATGCTTGAGATTAGCAACAAATATATTTATTTTCTTGTCCTTTTCAATCAAAGAGAGTGAGGCCCTTTAAAAGAAAACATTACCTTTTAAAAATTCAAATTACTTGCAAGATAACAAAAATGATATAAAAACACTTATACCTGTGAAAACTAATACATATAATTTCAGAATTTATATTGAGCTATACTGCACCATTAAAATTATTGAGAGAAAATGTGTTTACTGAAACACTTAGACCGTAGCACGAACAATAAATTCTGAATGATGATGCACATGGCATGTCACACCAATGTGTGTATTTACTATAAAGCTCTACAACTGGTTGTAACATGAAGAGATAAAGATAGACTTATAAATGATGTGTCCAAAGATGTTCTCAATAGTAACTCAGTTAAAATGCATATAGAGCCCTTCATGTGCACTCTGCAGTTTCTCCATTATATAAGAATGGATAGATACATATGTAGCGGTATATTCAATTTGCCTACACTGACCATCATATAATAAAATGGATTTTTAAAGTTTCTATCCTGATCAATTCTTTTCTAGCCCCAAATCACTGAATCAGTTTCAGAGTTTAGCAACTCAAAGGACCAAATTCAGAAAAGTTACATTTCACTTGAAACCAAGCCTGGAAACTGTCCCAGAGGTGGTCTGACTTGTTTGTTCTTTTCTTCTTCCAGTGTATGGAGCCCAGTGTTTGGCAGTAGAAGGGAAGGCAGCAGCCAGAAGCAACTGAAAGGACTAGGAAGGAAAACTGTGCCAGTCTCACAGGCTTGTTTGCTGGCCACACATGCCGTTATGGCATATAGATACGATGTGTTTAATACTGACTTGAAAAAGAGCTGTCACACTCCTGAAAACTCAAAGACAAGACAAGCTTGTTCTTTTAGACCATATACTCCACTGCGTTGGCCCGGAAAGCCTGGCTAAAGATAATCTCATCCGGCTCACACTCCTGGGTTTTGTCATTTCACGTCATTACCTCCACATTCTTTAAATGTAGTTTTAAAATGTGTTAAGCAGAAATGCTGATATAAGCCTAAATTTAGCTGCTCTTGCTGTCTCTGCTCATTCATGGTGGTAGATTTAGCTAAAGGGTCCAGAACAGCCATGCTTAATAGTAAGGAAACAAAATCCTCTTGCCTTCAGTGGGGTTAGCTATGTGTAAGAAAAGAGTGAACACTGTTGATATTGGAGATAAATGCCTTCTGGAGAAATGTACACATTTCATTGACGTCCTCTATAGTGTACATAAAAATCAGCTGCATTACACACAAAGACCCGTAAGCCTTTTTTCTATATTAAATGTTATTTTCTACAACTTAACATGTAGAATATGCAGTAACATTTATGGCAATAATAGCTGACTCCAAATAAGAATTGCCAGTGATCCAAGGTGTCTATTTAATCATAATCAAGGACTACCTGGTAAGCATTAAGTGACAATAAAGGGTATTCTTGCTACAATATTAGATGAATTGATAATACAGAAAATGGTCACTTAAGATGGAAAAGTCAATAGAAAATAGCAGTAATTATATGTGCCTGGCACACCAGCTTACTGTATATTCCAGCTAGTGTACAATGTGCTATAATAAAAAAGTATGCACCTCTCCTTGATGATACAGTGGCATTAGGTAGTTTTATAGAATGGCTTTTCCCCAGAACACAACATTTAGCTTTTCCACATGCTATTTTTTTTCTTATAGAACCACCCCTCCCTGTTTAAAACTGGTTTTTATCACACAACTGCATAATTGTTTTTTCTGCAACTAGCTATAATTAGTTGTTTTGTGTATCTCTACCAGAGTGATTCAGAGTTTGCTGTTCTACCTCATAAAATGCATCTGTATTAGAGGCATATGAATAGAAGTATTGACCTTATATAATATATCGCTATATTGGTAGGGACACTCAATCCTGATTCTTTGTAAAAGGCACAAGAGTCTGTATTGCTTTGAGCCTTCCTCTTTGAAGGCTATTTGAGTTTTTTAAAGCATAAAACTGGAGGTAACTGAAGACAAGCAGGCTCACAACATGGAAATCACTTAGTACACAAAGAAATTCCCTTTCCTGTGGATGTACAATGGGGTCTGAATTAAAAAGGCTGTTGGAGGGATTTGTTGATAGTGCCATCATAGAAAACTCTGGAATCAGCATTTGTGAGATTTGTCAAACCAAAAACTCAGGTTTCAAGTCATTCAAGAATATCTGATCATTTTATGTCATTCACAAGGCTCTCTGCAAATAAAAATGAAAATTAAGCAGTGCCTCCCCTGCCAGTCTTCTTCATCTCCAAACAGTCCTTCTGTGCCTCTTTCTCTCTCCTATTTGTCTGCCGTCCTCCTTTCTTTCAAGTTTTCTGCAATCCTTCCCTTCTCGTGTCCCCCTTTAGTCTTACTCCTCAGTGATGCCAATAAAAATAAACAGCCTATTTAAAATGCAGGAGTCAAGGCCAAAAAATAAATGATCAGCATGTGCCTTTTTTTAATTTTGTTATTTAATAAAAATACACCTGTGGCATCATCTCGTAAATATTTTTAAATTGATTTTGGAAACAAATTTCAAAGAAACTAGAGGAAGACTAAAGGGCTACTTAGTGCCTCTACTTTTATTTATAAATATGTCTAATGTTAAATGTTGTGAAATCCTTGTGAGACTACTTGCCTGCCTACTGATTGCAGGGTGCAGAAAGAATTAGCTTATGCAGGAAAATTTAAAGTCATAATTAGTCTGGTGAATTATAATAGTCGGGTCTATCCTGCAATCCTTTCCCATGTGGTACCCCAGAGGGAGTTTGGCATGAAAAAGGGCCACAAGACTGGCGTACCTGTGAAATATTAGCATTTTCCTGTAGTTCCAACCAGCAAAATTAGAAATCTGTCCCATTTTAGTCCTATATCCTTCAATTAAAAGAATATCAGTAGATTTTTACAATTAAAAAAAGTCACTCCATTTTTAATGTACCTCTTGAAATTAGAGAATAAAAATGAAAGTTTCCCTCAACTAAATATATATTTCCTCTTAATCAGAGGTAGAAGGCCGTAATTAATTTTATTTAAAAGGTTAAAAGTACCTAAGTTTCAGGAAGTTTCCTCAGATAAATAGAAAAAAAAAAAAGATAAAGTAAGGAAAAAGCAAGAGAACCTATTGGAAAACTATTTATTCTCAGGGATCTTAGATCAGCCATCTTTCCTAATTTGGCTACCTGCTCACTCAAACATCTGTTAATTAACTAAGATGATCAATCGTTTTGATGTACTGACCCATACTGAAGTGTGGGACAAAACCCAACAGCTTGCCAATCCTGAGATGCTGGCATTTTATGAAACATAAATACTTCTTTAAACAGTTACATTATGATGAACTGGTAGCTAGCTTTAGAAAATAGGTAGGCAAAGTGTAATAATAACAGCACATCCATTTAAAACCCAATACTACATAGTTCAATAACTAAAATGTTAGGCAATCTTCCATCAACAGATAAATAGACAAACAAATTTAATATATCCTATGGGTGGAATATTACTCAACAATGCAAAAGAATAAACCATCAACACATTTTATAGCAAGAGAGACAAACATGAGTGCATAACTTTTATGTAGCATTCCAAGAAAGTCAACCCAATGTGCAGTGCCAGACAGAAGAACAGCAGAGGGTCGGAAGGCAGGAATTGCAAAGAGGGGCAAAGAGAGTTTTGAGGGTGATAGATGTGTTTATGGCCTTGGTGTGGTAATATTCACAAGTGTATTCATATGTATACTTTTAAATTATACGGTTGAATGTAAACTTATTATATATCAGTTTTACCTCCATAAAGCTGTTAACCATGAGGAGACCAGGTAAAGTGAACTCAGTGACTAATTAGAATGGATGCTGGCCATCAGAATCAGAATCAAACAGTGGACTTTGGAACTATCTAGGCAATGGGGACCATATATGTAAGTATATGTTAGAATGTAAAGAATTTGGGCATTCAGATCACCCTCTTCACCTGGCAGCTGGTGTTTATGACCCTTACTTTAATTCAAGACTATTTTCCATATTAAAGATCGATACAGTCTTGAGTGAGGAGCCCATCACAAGTTTTAGATTTTATCTCTAATAGTGCTACAAAATGTATGATCTGGGCAGGTGCCTAAACCAATATCAGGATACAACTAAACATGTTTGAGACAGAGGTAAACCGAACAATACTTGCTTTTAGAGAAAAGGATGGATAATTTTTGTTGTTTTGTCATATCATCTCCAAAGGTTTTCTCTTTTTTACTACCATGTGTGTAATGAAAATGAAGTGGGAGATTCACCACAAGATGAGATGTTGTTAGCCAAATAACAGAAATCACCTGCAGAGTTTTGCCTGCGGTAGACATGTTTATATGAGATGATCAAGATTAACTGATTGCAGCAAAACATCTTCAAATCCACAATCAGTTACGGGAATAAGTGATACCCTATTGAATCTCTGTTCTGAAATAGAAAATAACTCATCGAGTTACCTACCGAAGGCCTTGCTGGGTACAGACTGAAGGACTGAGATAACTTTCTGTGGTTGTTTTTATCATTCTTTTAAAAAATTCTAATAAATACTGCATTTATTTACTCACAATTAGATGTTTAGGTGCATGTGTTAGATCACTATCCCAAGAAGGGAGGAAATAACTTTTAAGTACCTCAGAGATTGGACTAAAAGTCAAAAACCATATGGGGGAAAAACTGGAAGCAAATTGAATATATATGCAAATTGACATTTTACTAAAAGATCACTCTTAAATTTTAGTTTATCAAACATACGTCAGTAAAATCGAACTAAAATTTAGCAAGTGAAATATGTTCCCGAGTACAGAAGTATGTCTCCTTATATCGCTAAAATGTGTTTTCCCGTCTTGTCATATCGTGATTATGACTTTACCATGATTTTGGGGATATAATATTTGCAAGGCATTAATGAACAAATTCCACTTAAGAGTTAGGTACTCTTTTGGTTTTGTTTATTTGTTTATTCAGTTCTGGATTTGAACCCAGGGCCTCACATGTGCTGGACAAGCACTCTACCAGAGCTATACCCTCAGCCCCATCCTCACCGTTCTTGACTGCAGTTAGGGCTAAGAAAAAACAAAACACAACAAAACACTTCTCAGGTACAATATTAACTGTTCATCTTGGTACAGTGTCTGTGACATTGTTTTCTCTCCTTACCTCATTGTTAAAGATTTTAGTTTTAACCAGCATTAGCTCCTTGAAGGAATTCAAAGACGTTTTAGGTCTCAGAACCGCCACCCTTCCCTGATCTCTAGTGTTCTGCTTACCTAAAGGACATAGGTATGACATCTCCTTCCCCGTGAGATTATTTAAGAAGAGATCTCAAATCAAGCTGTTTGGAAGACAAGATAGGGGGCATAAGTGATGTGCTTAGGTTCCTGGAACTAGGGACTCTTTTATCAGGAAAAAACAAAAACAAAAAACAAAACTCGAAAGAACCTTTTGGTACTGAGGCAAAAATCTCTTGATTCTTCTCTGATTCTTTCTCTGTAGAATCATCTTAGAGTTCATTGATGACTTCCTGTGGATGAGATGTTTAATCTTGTCGTCATAATTATGACACTTCACGGCAATGACAAGAATCTGCCCTGCCTATCTCACCTGATTTTCCTTAGGACCCAGTATGAGGATCTATGTGAGTATTATTGAAAGGTAAATAGTTTTACTGGAAACAGTAGACTAAAACTGATGTGGCTTAGTAATATCAGCCAGGTACATCTTGGTTGATTCAGGCCCTTCATTTTTTTTTTTAAATAACCCCCTTATTTGTGCAGGTGCAGTTTTTTAGATGGCAGGGAATCAGATCATTAGGCAGATTCAATGATTCCCTTCTTCTGATATTTTACCACGGCCATTCAAGGAAATTTTGAAATAGTTGTCAATGCTGAACCATTTGAACATAGAGAATCTAATAAGGAAAAGCAAAATCTTATCTTCTCAGGAGATACTGTGGAAAAAATATCTATGGTCGAACCAGTTTGATATCTTTAACAGGTCTTACCCTCTATTCAATTTTCACATACACCACCCACTCTCCCAAAAACATAAAGCCTTTCTTTTTTCCTCCCATGAATCCATTTACATAGAGTCACTTTGTAATTCACTATTATAAGTAATTGCAACTCAAATGGGTTTATTAATTAATGGATTTTATAATCGTTAATTATTCTTAATTATCCAGTATTTCATATACTCTGCTCCATAACTCTTTATCTTTAGAAAGTTAGAGTTCAGAGTTAACTCTTGAGGACAATGGAACCCATAAAACCAATTATGCTCTAAAATTAGAACAAAGAAATACAAGTATTTAGCACTTCAAAATGAAGAACTAAATGGATCTTATAAATTTGCATGTTTATTTTGTCTGCAGCAGGTTCAGTTTTTAAAAATAAGAAATATGAATACAATCTGCAAACTCCATTTTACATATTTCTTTTACTATTTAGCCAAGGAATATGATAACCTTTAATTTTTGTTGGTAATGGGTTTTTTACATTTTTTTGTTTTTGTTATTTTTCTGTACCAGGGATTGAACTCAGGACCTTGAGCTTGGGAGGCGAGCTAAATCCCTGACCCTGGTGAACCTTCATTTTTATCTGTACAGATTTGTAACATTTGGAGAGACAAAATAATTTTATCTACTTTTATTTAAATTATTGCAAAGAGCCAGACAGGAGCTTGTCAGAACCTAAGAACTCTTTATAATACCTTGAATTTGATTGGAAAATAATATCTCTAAGAATTTTCTGGAGTATTTTAGAATTTACCAATTTCCATATACTTACTTTAAAATTATGTCCTTCGGTATGTATATTATTTGCCTGTAGCTAATTATTTTTAGCGGCTTGTTTACTGTCCTATCATGTCCACTTTTCTTCAACACATGGCAAGGAGCAAGAACAAGTAAAATTATACTATAGGGAAGACTAATGTAGCCTAAGAAAATATCAAAAACAGAGATAGAATGTTGAGTATGGGATAAAAGCAAAGTTCTTAACCTTAAGGTCTCCTAGAACAAAACTGAGTAATGGTGTTATAAATGAGATATAATTACACGTACATTTCACTTTTTCTCCAAATAGCTTTTCAGTTACTCTCTCCTACTGATCATTTCCGACTCAATCCAATAGTCTCTTTCGCATTTGGAATGTTTTCCTCCACCTCTTAAGACCAAGTATCTCAAGAAAGGTGTTCCATAACATTTTTACAAGTGCTATTGTACAAAAACCAGCAAGTATGCATCTGGCTTATTAAATATAGTCGGAGTAAGAAGTGGGATATTCTTTAGAATCCTACAACCTCTGATGCTGCTTCCTCTGCTGGATTTTGTGAATTACCTTAGCTGGATTCAACAGTTGCTGATCTGCGCTTCTCGTTCTGACCTTAGAATCTGACTTTTCCTGTGACTCCTGGTATAATCAAGTTCAAGCCAAAACCCACCTGAAACAAATGACTCTCTCCTCTTTAATGGTGCCCACCCTGCCTTTGTCCCGCTGTGTTGCTGTATCCAGTCCTATGTTGTGTATGATCTAACATAAGCCTTATCAGGTATCTCACCTATTTTAACATATGTGAGTGATCAATTCAGGAAAATAAATGATTTATTTCAATGTGTAGTAGATGACCTGGGAAAACTATTTGGAAAATTATTTTTATTTAGGTCTAAAATGCCCTCTAAACATCTCATGTGTTGGATTATGGGGACACTATGCTCCTCAGTGGATTCATCCATTGAGTTCACAGCTGAATGCACTATTTGGAGGTGAAGCTTGTTGTATTCTTGTCCTCAGCTCCTCCCTTCTCTCTCTGCTTCCTGGCCGATCTGGGTTGAACAGCTGTCTACCACTATACCTTTGTGCTATGTAGTTCAGTGCTTAACACTGCCTAGTGTGTGTGAGGCCCTAGTTTTAACCCCAGTACTGTAAAATGATGATGATGATGATGATTCATGATGATGATGATGGTAACAGCCAGGCATGGTGGCACAAGCCCATAATCTCAGCACTTTGGGAGGCTGAGTCAAGAAGATTATAAGTTTGAGCCATGCAATTCAGTGGCCTAGTGAGATCCCATCTGAGAGAGAGAGAGAGAGAGAGAGAGAGAGAGAAAGGAGGGGGGGAGAAGAAGAGGGAGAGGGAGAAGGGAGAGAGGGGTGGAGGCATGGGTTCTGTCTTGGAGTCAGTTAACCATGGACTGAATCCTCTGAAAACCAACAGCCAAAATAAGTTCATTTAGTCCATTAAGTTGTGTTTGTCAGTATTTTTTCCCAGTGATGACAAATTAACCAATACAAAACGGCTGCCTAACTTGTTCAGAGACCATGAGACTCTGAACTGAGGTGGATGGACTGAGGATGGAGATATGATAGGGGAGAGAAAGTGGAGAGAGAGTCAACAGGATTCGGTGGCTGGATTAAGAAGTAAGGTAGAGGGCAAGCTGTAGATCATAATTCACTCTGGATCAAGAAATTGATACCATCTGAAGCCATTTATTGAACTGGGGAGCACGAGAAGAACAGACTGAGGGAACAGGCTATGATCTCCTTCTGTGCTACATTAGTGAGTCATAAGAGTGTCTAGGAGACATCTAAACCATGTGAAATACTAGGCTTACAAAGTGAACAAGCCAGGCAAGAAATCTAGGCCTAGGGTGCATGGTGGAGAGTAGAGAAGTGTCAGAAGGACTGAGTAATCAAAGGTAGTCACAGAGGATAAGGCTGAGACCACTGCAAACAAGATTAATAGACTTTTAGTGAGGGCGAGGGATTCGGCTCCGTGGCTCCACTGCCTTCCTCACAAGTGCAAGGGCCTGGGTTCAATCCCTGTCACACACACACACACACACACACACACACACACACACACACAAAAGACTTTTAGTGAAATTCCAGAAGCTGGAATTCAAAGCCTGAGGAGGAAACCAGGAAGTGAGAGAATGGAAGACCTTACCCTGCAATGCCACTTGTACTGAAAACCAGAAAAACTTACATATAAAAAAATTAAAATGAAATACTCCACCTTTCTTCCACACCTTTCCACACCTATTCTCTGCTCCTCCTTTTAGGTATCACTGTAAGGAGTGAAATTCCAGAAGCTGGAATTCAAAGCCTGAGGAGGAAACCAGGAAGTGAGAGAATGGAAGACCTTACCCTGCAATGCCACTTTTACTGAAAACCAGAAAAACTTACATTAAAAAAAATTAAAATGAAATACTCCACCTTTCTTCCACACCTTTCCACACCTATTCTCTGCTCCTCCTTTTAGGTATCACTGTAAGGATAGTTTATTTTAAAGAAATACTGTATAAAACATGTAGCACAGGGACCAGAGATTTAGCTCAGTGGAACCGTACCTGCCTTGTAAGTATAAGGTACTGAGTCCAATCCCTGGTACCCCCCCCCAAAAAAGTAGCACAAAACCCGACTTGGTACATAAGTAATATAATTAAAGTGACTTCTAAATATCTGAATCTAGTTTACTCTGGAAAATGTATGCACAGATAAATTTTTTGTGTAGAAGTAGCAGTATTTTCTTAAATGGGAAAAGAAAAATTCATTCTCTGTACATGCAAAACTCCAAGCAGTTTCCTAAACGTTAGCACACAAGCCCCTATATAATAACTTACTGTAAACGTATGCATTAGAAGAAGCCTCTATTGCTGGCTCTGCTGGAGTACATCTACAATCCCAGTTACTTGGGAATGAGACAGGAGGATTACACATTTGAGGCCAGTCTGCCCACTTTAGCAAGGCTCAAAATAAAATTTTAAAAGTTTGGGATGGGGATGTAGTTCAGTACTTCAGCACTTTGCCTAGTGTGTGTGAGGCCCTAGTTTCAACCTCAATACTGTAAAATAATACCAATAATAATAGTAATAACAATAATAAATAGCCAGGCATGGTGGCACAAACCCATAATCTCAGCACTTTGGGAGGCTGAGTCAAGAAGATTACAAGTTTGAGCCATGCGATTCAGTGACGTAGTAGATCCCGTGTCGGGGGGGAGGGAGAGAGGGCTGGAGACATGGGTTCAATTTCCGGGACTACAAACATTAATAAATAAATAACATTTAATGCTTGATTATCTGACCTTTAACAAATCCATCAGTGAATATGTTTATATGTTTTTGTTTGTTTGTTTGGTTCCCCGGGGATCAAGCTCAGGACCTTGCACTGGCCAGGCAGGCGCGGTGCCTCTGAGCTACATCCCTCGCCCTTGAATGTGTTTATGTAGATTAAAGACAGAGTCAGATATAAACTACCTTTCCCTTTTCCCTCTTTATGACAATGCATGCATGTTTAATGTAAACCAAAAAGATATTATGCAAAAATACATATTGGTGCAATTAATAGGTAAAATGAACAACTTAGATCTAAAAGGCCTTTCCTGAGTGAGGCTGGGGGTGGGGGAGGGTGGAGCTTCTCACTTAATAATGCGAGCTCCCTTCTGAACAGGGCCAACACTGCCCTGCCGGGAGACTGTGAGGTGCAGGTGATGCGCATTCTGCATCCCCTTGTACAGCTCTGGAAATTACACAGAGGTTCACCAGCACAATTCGAAATCAGAATAATACACTGAGAATAGGTCTTTTCGAAGCTTCTATGCTTATTATTGTTATGTACACCTAGGTTGTAACCTGGGCGTGAGATCGCTATGGCACACGAACGAAAACAGAAGCAGAGCAGTGGTCCTCAGCCGGGAGCAATTCTTTCTCACAGGGCCACTTGTTATTGTCTGAGAACATTTTGGGGTGTCATGAGGAAGATCACAGATGCTTCTGAACATCCTACGATGCAGGAGACAGCCTTGTACGACAAAGAATGATGCAGCCCAAACTATCAGTAGTGCCAAGTCTGAGGGATCTTGATGGAAATCAGTGTTCCAAGATGTTCTTTGTAGGGAATGATGCAGAAATAAATCTGAATAGAGCTAAGTGCCAACTAAGGTCTTTAGAATAATCAGAGCTGATGTAGAAAAAATAAAGTATTGGCTGGACAGGCATTGATTAATATTTGGTTGAGATTCTTGAATGCAGCATGAAGAATTTAAAGTTTTCAATGACAAAAAATGTTGGGATGAAAATGGAACTTGAAGCTTTGTGGGTCATTAGGTGGCTGTATTCAAGAGGAAAGGCTAGCATGATAAAAACCCATGATCAGTCGGTGAAGAGCAGTGTATGTCATGACTTCTATCAATAGGAATACAGAAAAAGGGTGGGTGGAACTGAACTCCCAACTCAGAGGAAAGCTCAACTGGCATGAGCAAGAGACACACTACTGCAAAATGTAAACTTGAAATGGAAAATAAAAGGTTATTAGCGTCTGGAAGAATAAAGTGGATTTTCATCGCAATACTAACAAATATAAGAAAAAGAAGTTGGTTTTGGTGAAGAACATGAAAAAATACTAAGTTTAACTTTTACCATATTACAGTTCAGGTATGGATGGGGTCTCCAAATGTCTGAAAGAATTTGCTGAATGCAGTAGTTTTGCCTAAGTTTTTAAGTTAGTTCTTTTAAAAGTGTTTACATATTCAACTAACACATCTCTGTACTATATACCATATATTTTTCACATACAATCTTACATTCCCAGGAATTACTGGGGAATGTTACTGCTCTGATTTTTGGATGAGCAGAAGGAGATCTAGTGAGGTGAAGTGACCATAGACCAGGTCATACAACTACTAAATCACTGTCCTGCATTCAGTGAGACCTGATGTCTTCTAATGCCAAGCCCTGGGATTTTCACCAAAATAATTTTCCTTCAGTATGCGTTGCATGGCCCACTGATTCCAGTTATTTCACACAATTCCTTACACTCACATCTTTACTGAGCTTAATGAGTAACTTCCCCCAGATATGCACACTTTTTAAAGTACAGTTATTTTCCTTGAAAAGTAATAACATGTCAATGTACAAATTTGGAAAATGGAAAAGCCCAAGTCAAGAGGATTCAAAACCATTATTAATTCTACCATTTAGAAATATCTACTAATAAATGTTTAGGCGATGCTTTGTTTTTTATCATTTTTTACTTTGCTGATAGTTTTTCTGATGCACAGTGATGTTTCTAAAATGAATCATCGGAATTAGAAAGAGGAGATAAGAGAAAAAGATGGTGCATGAGCTAGAGAATTAGCTTTCAAACCTATACAGATGAAAGTTGTGGGGGGTGAGGGTGGGGAGGGAGAAGGGAGAGAGGGTAATTTCTAGAACTTCTTTTTGCCCAAGGAGCACTAGGAACTCAATAAATCTTAGTTCATCTGTCATCTCTATGCTCTGTTAATGACAAGATTAAACTGAAGCTACACTTTCCTGAGTGCTTATCATTTGCCAGGCGCAGAACTAAGAGCTTTTCCCACATTATCTCATTTTATCCCTGCAGCATATTTCCAACTTAGAGAAGAAGAAACTTAGCCTTAAAGAGGTTTTAAAAACTTGCCCAAGTCCCGCATCTAGTAAGTGGGGAAGTAAGGATTCAAAAGCAAATTGTCTGGCCTCAGAGGCAGTATTATCACTCTTTGCTATGCTGCCTCCTCTGCATGAAGAAAATCAGGCATGGAAAAATATATAATCCAGGAAAGTGAGTCATGGCAGAGCTGGAAGGGATCTTGGGGTCTCTAACACAGAACCTCATGGTTTCTAAGCTCAGATTTCTCTTTGCTTTTTGTCTTTGCAGGAGCAGGTTGATAGCTGGCTCTGGAATGTGGTATAATGCTTGAGGCACTAGTTTGTTTTTATTTGATTAAAATCATTTATTTGAATGAAAGTTTGGTGCATTTTCTCAGCTAGTCCTCTAGATAGGGGAATATTTTGTATGTTTGTGGAAACACACACTTCCTGTGAAGCTCAGTGTAAACCACTGATTTTACATGAAGACCTATAATAGTGCAGTCACTCACAGACATTTTTATACATAATTGTTGGGTAATAGTCTATGTTTATTCTAATGATGTATATTTCAAAGCTACTGTTCTGTGGAGTCCTCAAATAAAGAGAGATATTTATCTCTTTGGAATTTCAGCCACACTACAATTAAAATGAAATGCAATCAATAAAATATTAATGCAGGTATGTCTGACGATCAATTATTTAATGGTTAGGTCCATATCTGTTATTCTCTAGCTTCCTGAAAGTGACTGTATAACACAGTCAGTGAGTTAACTAGTAAATCAGAAATATGATATACACATAATTGGGGGGGTGTTATTAATTCTATAATAAGGTAGATGACATTGATGATAGTTTCTACTGCCTGGTGTTTTTTTAATCCTTTTTCCAGACTGGCTTGCTATGTTAGGGTTATTCGACATTACTCTCAACACTATAGAAAGTAGATGGAATCCTAGGTTGGTAGAACAAGAAACAGCTGTCTAAGTCCCTTTTCATCCTTTCATTTAGGATGGAGACACTGAGGATAAGCAAAGACAACAGAGTTGGTCATTGTCACACAGTCATGGAACTGGACATGGAACTCAAGGATCCTGATTCCTAAACCGCAGGTCTCTAAAACACCATGTCGCTGAATTTGGGGACACTAATTCAGGTTCAGATTTTGTAAGTGCAGTGGATGCTGTGTCAGTGGGCTGGGTCCATTCTAGGTTTATAATTTTTTTTCTTGACAGGTCAAATTAGAAATTCAGCAGATAAAGGAACAAGGAAGCAGCAAGAGCTTGTACTAAGTAAAAATTCTATCTCACAATGATAAATGCCACAGGGACTTCTGAGACAGTGTTAAAAGTGAACATCACCTGCCTCTCAGAAGTGAAAGCCTGAAATAGCAAATACCAACTTCAGTTTCCTGAAAGACACTACCTTTGAGACTTAGGTAAATGGATAGACTTTCCTTGGAGTTTCTGTCGAGCAAAATAGATTATTAAAAAATATTGATATCTCAATTGCCATTATGGTGTTTTATGTTGGCAGTGGAAGTCAAAAAATAACAATGAATTTCCCACTAATTTTCCATGGCTCTGTTCTCTGTGAATCAGCTTTAATTATTCATTTTACTTCCATGCTAGATAATGAAAAAATTCAAAGCTTCAGTCATTTGTGTAACTCTAGCAGCTCTCTACAAAGGAGAAAGTAAAGTTTTGAACTGAGGTTTTACTTTGTGTCTAATTGTTCAAGCTTATTGCAAAAACTACACAAGAAACTGGGGGCTGCCACTACGGAAATGGGTATTCACTTCAGTTTTTAAAAACTGACTTTCCCCATCTAAATGACCACTATCGGGTTACAAGTTACAGCGGGATGAGTAAATTTGGCCATGTTACGCCCAAACTTCATCAACCTTTTTTATAAGTAAATCTACTTTGTCAAACTGATCCCAACATTTGCTTCTCAGATCTGTCCACACAGTTTTGACGGATTTGATTAAACTTTATGACCTGATTGGCAGACAAAGGTTCTTTGCGGCAACCAAATCAAGTGGCCCAGGTGGGTTCTCCTTGCTGCTCTTACTCACACATCCCATTCTCTTTTGGTGCCTGAACAAGTTTCCCAGAGTCGGGGAGACAGAGAGAAGTCAGCTCTTGCTGCAAGAGGTTTGCATTTCTGCTTTTAGAAGCTCCAGAAGAGAAAAGTACCTGGGTCTCTTTTGTGAATCTATAAACTGAAATTACTGATGTGCAGTATAATGGCCTGGAGAGGACCTTGCACACAATTCAGCCCGGTGTTTTTTCCAGGGTGAGGGATGTGTACCATTAGCATGTACAAGATAATTTTAGGAAACATATGGGTAGTGAATAACACAATGGAAAATTTAGTTTCTTTTCAGTTTTTTTTTTAACTTCTAATTATATCAAGAAGAAAGTCTCAGTCTGGTGCTAACAAAGAGCTCTCTAACACTTTTATCTTCCTTTTTAAGAAACAGGCGACAAGCCTCAGGCTCAGAATCTTTAGCAGGCAACTATGTAGAGCTGAAATTTAATAATACTGTATGGCTTCCATTAAATTAAAAAATTTCAGATTGCCATCTATATGGATGACACTTCTTTTAATGTTTAAGACACAGTTTCCTTTTAAAACATACTTACTGAAGTTAAAAAATTTAAAAAGTGTTGGTTTAAAACAAATATTAAGTAAAATTTAGTGTAGTGCATACAACACTGCAAATATTACATAATGTCCATAGCCACTGGTCGGGTAAAAATCACAGGGCTGCTGTGGGAACTGGTAGAGTGTGGTAGTGTGAAGCTGACTGTCCTACACGACAGATGGGAAACTGTTTCAGGGAGACCAGGAAACTAGAAAGCCAAGGCTTCAATCCACGGCCACTTACCAAATGGATGTCACCTTTTTACCTGCTGATTGAATAGCTTTCTTCAAAATGGCCTTTCCTTTTCTCTTTGTGAACAGTGCACATTAGGTTTGAACTTGAAAACAATAAAATTTTATTTCTTTGTCTCCCTGTTGTAACAGGAATGACTTGATGAGGTTATTGAAATATTTAAAAACCAAGCTAGATTTGTGGGGCTTGAGTTAGTGAGAAGGGAAATGGAAAAAGACTATCTAAATGTAAAATTTAACTGCAAATTCACAGATAAATTAAAGCATTTTTTCCCTCCTTATTTTCAGGTTAGTTTGCTGAAAAAAATTAATATATAAACCTTGAATTCTTAGAAGTTCTTTGTTAGCTAGACTAACTTTCTACTCATCATTTAAAAAAAATGTATAGACATTCATTGAAATCCAAAAGTGTAACACTCCTAGAAGGAGAAAGTTTTCAATTAAGAGAGAATTATGTGCCTTGCAAATCTTAAAAATATTATAATTAAACTTCCCACTTAAGAAAAGAAGTGTAGAGATTTTTGTTCCTGGGAGGTGAGAGAGGGATGGAGTCACATTGTGCTGCTGCACAGGGACAGCCCTCCAAGTGTCCTGGCCACTCTGAATGGTGAACAGTCACCACGCTGTTGAGTAAAAAAACAACAGGGCTGGGGATGTATCTAAGGCTAGAGCGCTTGTGTAGTGTGCTTGAGGCCCATGGTTTGACCCTCAACAGTGCAAAAGCAAACAAGCAAAGGAACAAAATTCACAATCTTAAGAATGGAAGTCTCTCTCTGGAGAAGTTGGGAAATGAAGAGGAGCACTGGTAGTTAACTGATTGGCAGTAAGAGCTATGTCTTATACAGAAAGAGGTGAAATGTGAGGCAGTTAAAATATTTTAAAATTCCAGTCAGATGGAAACAAATGCTTCATCATTCTATTTCTTTTATTCAAACAGTGGAACCAATAGACATCTGAGATATTGGGCTTTCTAAGGAATAACTGACAGCAACTGATGAAGTGTGACACTCAAGGAATTAAATGGGAAATCACGAGGTTGGCTTCTCACTTGCCTGAATCATTCCCAAGTTGTTAGCGAGGGACAGGAAATTCACTGTCCTTTCGAGGTGCCTGATATGGCCCCATATTGAGGATTGACATCTAGACCCCCACGCTGCGACTGTGATATTTTCATTCCTGATTCCAAGAGCCCAGTTCAGTAGTTCTTGAGAGGTTTCCACTGGGAATAGCAAGGAACATCATTCAATGCATGCCACAGACTCCTGGGAAGGAGGCTGCTGGATGCCAGTCACCGGGAAGGAGGACTTCTGTACCCTCAACTTCCTTCCACCGATTCGGCAATGGCCCATTTACAGTGCAGAGTTCCCATGCAGACAAAGAAGTGACAATGGCTCGGCACTGGGGATCACTTGTGTGCCATTTTTCACGAGTTCTATGCCTCATTCTTACAGCCTGTTGACTCATGATGAGACTGCCACTCATCTGGGAACATCAGGGTGTGCAACCCACATTGGCAGGATTTTGTTCTAGGTGCCCCATCTTTGGAAATGCTGCTCTGTAATCTCCCCCAAAACAGGGCTGGACTAGAAGTAACACTGTGTGTGAAAATTCTATAACACTCCTCTGGAAGTTCATATCAGCGTAAACTAATTGGTTTATGTGACTGGTACATGATTTTTCTAACCTTGCTCTTGGAAATTCCAACATCTTTCAACGTATTGCAGACATCCCGTTTCATCAATGAGGACTCATTCACAAAAAGTTATCTGCTTATTTACAGGTCACCCCACAGTTTTGCCATAACTAGAATAGATTTCAATATTCAGCTATCTATTTGGACAGTTTTTTAAAAAAATGAATTTTATTGGTACATTTAAGGTATGCAATATAGTGACATCCATCATTGGAAATTTGCACCTTTACATAATCCATTTTGGTTCTTATTTTTTCCCCATTCCACCACCCTCTCTTCAACCTCTCCACCCATCCCTATCCACAAAGACTTTGTTTCTATTTTTTTTCTTTTTCTCATATTAATTCCACTCCAATCTTTCTTTTCCCCCACCTCTCCCACTTCCCCTTTGCACCTTTTCTTCCTATCTCACATTATCTATTAGACCTTTTAATCCTTATTTACACTTTCAGTTCTCATACTAGAAAAACTATTTGGTATTTACACGTCTGTCCTACGTATTTCACTTAAGAGTATCACCTCAATGTGCATCCATTTAGCTATAAATGTCTCTATTTCACATTCTTTATGGTTGAGTAGTACTCCATTTTATAAAAAAACAACAAAACAAAACAAAACAGAAAACACATTTTCTTTATCCAGTCTCCAGTAGATGGGCAATTGGGCTGCTTCCAAGTTTTAGCTATCACAAATTGTGCTGCTATGAATATGGGTGCACATATATCACTGTGGTATGATTCTTTTAATTATTTGGGGAAAATTTCCAGCAGAGGAATATCTGGGTCAAATGGGTCTTCCAATCCTAGTTCTTTGAGGAGTCTTCATGCTGATTTCCACAATGGATGCAACAGTCTACACTCCCACCAGCAGTGAAGAAGAGTTCCTCTTTCCCCACAGTCCCAACAGCATTTGTTATCAGTTGATTTCTTGATAGCAGCCGTTCTTTCTGGGGTGAGGTGGAGTCTCAGTGTCATTTTCATTTGCTTCTCTTGAATGACCAGTGGTGCTGAACATTTTTTCAAATGTTTATTTTCTATTTCTACTTCTTTTTCTGAGAAATGTCTGTTCATTTCAGATGCCCATTTTTTGATTGGGTCTTTAAATTTGGGTTTTTAACATTTTTTATGTATTCTAGTTAGTAGACCCATGTCTGAGGAAGAGCTAGTGAAAAGTTTTTCCCACATTGTGGGTTGTCTTTTCACATTGTTGGTCATTTCTCCTGTTGTACAGAAGCTTTTTAATGAGAAGTCATCCCACTTGTTCATTGTGCTAGTTCATGGGGAACTTAGGTTTTGTTCATAAAATCTTTTCCTATACCAATGTCTTTAAGCATTCCAGCTAACTTATCTTCCAGCAAGTTTAGTCTTTCTGTTTTAACATTTAGATCTTTAATCCATTTTGATTTGAATTTAGTGCATGATGAAAGATATAGGTCAAGTTTTAATCTCGGGCAAGATGAAGCCCAGTTTTTCCAGGACCATTTATTAAGAGGCTATCTTTCCTCCAGTGAGGGTGTTTGCCTCCTTTGTCAAAAATGAGGTGGCTGAGTGTGTCAGGAGATGTTTCTGCATCT